GTTGTTCTGGAATCTAAATCTTAAACAAAATTCTTTTTCTCTCAGTTCCAATAATGCCAAGTTATCCAAATCTTTCTCCATCTCTCTATTTATTATTTCTGCCTTACTTTCCAAGACTTCCATTTTGTCAGTAGTTTGCTTTAGATCTCCAGCCAACTGTCATACAGATGCTTCAATCTTCTTTTTTTATACCCTTTTTTATTCCTGCAAATCCTTCTATTTCCTTTTTAAAAGCATCCAAACTACTGGCAATTGTTGCAGTCATTTTCTTGCCAAATTCCTCAAACATTTTCTGCAATAAATCTGATGAAATGCCCTTATTCGTGAATTGTTCTAATGAACTTCTTTTTCCTTCTCCTAATATTGCAGCTTTTCTTGTGGTTGCCATCATGAGAAAATGAAAGCATGTCAGTTACTAGGGTGAAAGTAAAAGGCAGAGTTCTCCCTATTGTTTCAGTTTTGCTTTTCTCTGCGTTTAACACCTGAGTCCCAATTAGCTCCCTGTAGTTACAGTCATGCAGTCTAGCTCATCATACGTTTATCTTCTGATTTTGTAAAACCCACCAATTATCTACTTTTTTTAATAATAAACAATCAGCATTTCCACAAAGGTCCAGTCTATTTGTTTAATTAATTTTACTATTTTCAAAGGCACTTTTGTCAGAAAAAAAGTATTATTTTCCTGTTTTCTAAAATTACTGTCCCCTTTGTCTGTTTAAAACTTTCTTGAATCACAATTTTGTTAAGCTTTTTGCTTTTAAATTAAAATCCTTTAAAGTAACTTTTTTTCCCCTCTTCTTAATTCCAAAAAGAAGGCAACTGACCAAGAGTCTTTTTTCTTCCATGCCATTTGGAATATCTCTCTTAGGTTGTAAATTAATTACGTCCAAAGGTAAAAGGCAAAAGTGAGATTTTTGCTGGTCATATATGTCCGTAAAGGCTGTTAAGTGTGCATTGCTATTCCCTTGGCTCCCAAGCTTCTCAACTCATGATCGACCACAAGAAACGCAACTCCTGTGGTCTCCTCACAAGGAGTGGCTATCCAGAGTGTAAGTGGGTGATCGCCCAATTTCTCCTTCCTTCAGAGAGATTTTCATCAGTGGGACCCATCTTCTGGCTGCTGATTTTACCGCGGTGCTGTCCCTACTTGCAGGGACATTTAACCCACTATAGGTCCTCACCCAGAAGCCTCAGAACTGGGGGTTATTCCTGAGGATTTGTTGCATGATCCTGCTGAGGTTTTGTCACCTGGAACAGGAGGGCAGCTGAGGCCTTAGATCAGATTGTGCCCATGCGACCTTTCCTTACCCGTGGATTCCATCATTCTTCATGGTTTACGGAAGAGTTGAGAGAGCTGAAATGAGTTAAGACATGTCTGGAGCACTGCTGGTGGAGAACAAAGAATGAACTTGACCAAACACAGGTTAGAACCGCCATTAAGGCCTACCTTGTGGCAGTAAAGGTGGCAAAGTGTCAATACTTCTCTGCCCTTATTGTGTTCACAGATAGCCACCCAGCAGCCCTATTTAAGGTGACCTGGACCCTTTTGGGTAAATGGGGTCCTGAGATTTATCTTCAAGGTCATGCCAAGGAATTTGCAGAGCATCTGTCAAATAAAATTGCTCAGATTTGCTCTCAGTTGGATGCCAGTGTTTATACAGGTCTTGGGGAGGTGCCTGGGGTGCAGTCTTGCCTGGTTATCTGGGAACTGTTGATCCTGTTGGACCGGAGGAAGTGGACAGGGTCCTTGGGACTGTGAGCTCAGCCACCTGCTCTTTAGATCTATGCCCTCCCTGGCTGGCCAAGGCTACCCAGGAGGTGATGTGTGGGTGGATTTTGGCAGTGGTGAATTCATCCTTGAGGGAGGGGGTTGATCTTCCGCCTCTTAAAGAGATGTTGGACTGGCCCCTCCTTAAGAAGCCACTGTTAGACCTCACCATACTGGACAATTTTCATCCAGTATCCAACCTCCCCTTTTTAGGGAAGGTGGTAGAGAAGGTGGTTGCACAACAGCTTCAGAGGATCCTGGAGGAAACGAATTATCTCGATCCCTTTCAGTCAGGATTCAGATCCAGGTATGGGACAGAAACATCATTGATCGCACTTTTGGATGATCTCTGCCGAGAGTGGAATGGGGTAGCGCATCCATCCTGGCTCTTCTTGACCTCTCAGTGGCCTTCAATACCATTGACTATGGCATCCTTCTGGATCAGCTTCAGGTGTTGGGAGTGGGCAGGATGGTACTGCTACTGTTGGCCTCCAGGGATGCAGCCTGGTTGCCTGGATGATTTTTTAGCATGGCTTGATAATTTAAAGGTCCCAGGTTGTACTCTGCTGTTAGCTTGGGATCTCAATATTCTCTCCAATGGGTCTGCTTTTTCACAGGTTTGGTTTTTTTTAATCTTCTCCAATTTCACAGTTTGATAACTCTGCCTATACCCCCCAAATCCACTGCAAAGGAGGGGCATTTGACCTGATTATCTCAAAAGGTTTGGATCCAATATTTCATTACGTATCTGAAACTGTCATGTCTGATCATTATCCTGTGTCCTCTTAGTGGTTCTTCCTTTTCTGGTCCCTTAAGTTTAATTAGTTACATCTTGTTAGTTTTAGCAAATTACATCTTGGTAGTAAGTTCGTTTGTTTTATTTACTTTTTTATTGTAAATATCTGTTTGATGTTCCACTATTCCAGCAGAGTTACAGCTGCACTCACTTTTTTAATAGCTGCACCTCATGGCTGGCTTATGCTTGACTCGTGGTCCACAAGGATACACAGGTCCCTTTCACATGTCCAATGGACAAACCAGGTCTCCCCCATCCTGTACTTGTGCTTTTTATTTCTCCTACCCAGATGCAGAACTTTACATTTCTCCCTGTTCAGTGTCATCCTGTTTCAGCCGACTGCTCAAGCCTGTCTGGTTCTTGCTATTTAGATGGCTTCAATTATTTAGCTTAGTTCAGCTTTGTTACTTTTTGTTTGGTCATCATTTCTGCCAATTTTGCCCAGAAGAGGTGTTAGGCTGTCTGGACTATAATTTTTTAATTTGGGTCTGCTCTGGGCCCTTTTTAAAAATGGTGTCACATTAACGATGAATTAGTCCTGCACCACTGAACTCCATTTGAGGGACAGATTCCATCTTTTTGCTAGGAGGTCAGCGATTTCATTTTCAAGTTCTTCGTGTATTCCCAGGGGGATGCCATCAGAACCTGGCGACTCCTGGGCATCTCCAGAGCCAGCGCCTTGAGAGGTCAGACTGGCTCAGGAACCTGTCCTGTGTCTGCCAGAGTAAGGATGGAGCCAGAGGGTTAATTTCCTCCTTTCACTCCTTAGCTGCCTGGCGTTCTGCTTGTTATGGTTTTCGGCCATGCTCTTCAAATCCTTTTTCATTCTTCATTATCTCCATGCATTTTTTCTGCCAGGATTAGTGTTCCTTTTTCTTCTCCTTGTTAAGTCAGAAAGCCTTCTTTACCCCGACAGCTTTGGACACTGCTAGAAGGCCATGCAGGAGACCAGACACCATCACAATCGGGATCCCAGGGAAGAAAATAAGAAGGGCTTCTACTGCATCTACCGGTGTCCAGACAAACAGGAGTTGCTTCTTTATTATGACCATATAGGAAAGAAAAAGTTGTCATACACAACGAAAGAACTGGGGTCACACCAATCCATACCCCTGCAGGATCAGCTGCCATCATCCTGCTGGAGCAGAGATGCATCCTGTAGTACACAGTTGGCAGCAAGATTCCACCTCAATGGTGAAAGTACCAGCTTTGTGGCCATGGTATAGACCCTCCGGCCCCAAATTCCTGCTAGCCAACTGTCAAGGGAATCCGAGTGGCCTTTCTCATCCTGGGAAGTTATGGTCCTCCTGGGGATTTTCTGCATGGAAATTATTTATCTGGAGGACCATAGGGGAGAGCAGAAGATGGCTCAGCTCCTGATCTGCAGAATAACGTTTGCCAGTCCCCCTTGGAGGCCAGTCTGTGGCACTACTTGCTATGGCTTATGGGGCACTCATGCCCCATCACTGCATGATCCCCTTCTAACAGATCCCCTCTGGCTGCTCTAATAGAAGAAAGAGTCACTGAACTGCCTGTGCCTTCAATTCCTCTCGGGAGCGGGTGATGAGCACTGCCCTGGACCAAATCACTCTAGGGTACAATGGCATGAAACCAACATATGGGCTGTGTCTGCAGAAGCAGCTGTTTTTCAACCCTGGACACTCTCCCGAGCTATGCATCTGACAGATACCATAAACATGGGGAGAAGAGGGTCATTGTCCAAGTGTTTGGGAGTGAGGCTCTCCCATGGAGGAGGACCCTCAATTCTACCCATAGTCTCATCCTTTCACCTGCAGAGCCTGGTTTGAGAGCTACCACAGGGAGGGCTCCAGGCTGGCGTGGCTGCAAAAGGGCATTCCACAGAAGGGGATGCGGGATTTCTGGTCAACGCCAGCCTGTATTGGAATGCTTTTCTCTCGGTTTTGCGGGTGTGGGAGGGTAGGTGTTCAACAGGCTACCATGCTGGTGAATGAACTGCCAATTTTCTCTGTCCTTCTGGGGAGTCAAGGAGGTACCATTCACAGGAATCACTGTGGCTTGGAGTGGGGTGGAAGTGGGGGTTGCACTTGGAAACGTGGTGAGGTTCTTGAGATCCCACAAAAAGGTCAGAATAGATGCTAAGCTAAGTATCTGTGGTTTCCCAGGAAGAGAAAGGTCTTCCCCTATCTGAAAACTAGGGCTTCTCCTGGCTCCTCCCAGAGCTTCACATCAAGATGGTGAGATGTCCACCTCCTTGAATGCTTCCTCTTTATCCATAATCTGGAACTCTCCTCCAGGCTCCCTAATGAAATGGGCTGTGCTAGATATGGAAAAAAACCTCCTCTCCCTTCCCACTTCTCTTTCTATTTTTTCCTTTAAAAACTTGCCTCTCTAGCATGCTTGTTGGTCTGTACACATTTGCAAAGTCATGGTTCACCCTGAGATAGAATAGATTTATTAGCAAGAGGTAATCAGGAAACATATATTTTTACAAAAATGGAAATTTTCTTTTCCCAAATAAGCTGCAGGTTGAAATATTTTAGGTCTTGAAAGACAATTCTCATACCAGTGGGTATTGCTTACAGCAAAAGGTTTCTGAATTCAGTTCCCATACAGCATGCCTGCTAGTCAGAAATTCACTTGAGTTTATACACTGTACACTGTAAAAAATACATGATAATATTCACAGAATAAGCACTACATTACTATATTCCTGCTAGCAAGTGGTTAGACAGGATTACAGTATATGTAATAAAAACACCTGGCCATTTCCCCCTCTAATTGTACATCATGTTACTAAGACGTGTCACTATGTCTACAACAAAGCATACAGACAGAAGCGCCAAAGAGGGATGCAGCAGAAATGCTCACAGGTACGGACTGCCTTCCCATTCAGGGCTGGCCCAAGAAATTTCAGTGCCTAAGCCAGGAAGTCCAAATGGGCGTTACCCCATACTCCCCCCAGCCTGCCCTGTGAGGCCCTGAGCCCCACAGAGGTGCCCCGCAGCCCTCTTTGCACAAGCCAACTGGCCCCAGGGACTGGCCTCTCTGTGCTCCCAAAGCCTGACCAAGATGCCTTCGCCACACAGACGGAGGGTGTGGGCCAGCTGGAGGCTTCTTCCAAGCCAGTCGAGGTCTGCCTCTCCTGCTGGGCCTCCTGCCTGCCTGCCTTCCGCAGCTCTCTGCAGTGAAGAGAACACAACGACCTGGCAAGACGAATCCCATCAAAGCTGCTCTGAAAAGACAGAAGCACGTCCAGAGCGTCTCAGTTGGGGGGCTGAGTTTCCCAAGCTAAGGGAGCATCAGGCCAGAGTGCAGAAGCCAAGGAAACTGCGGCTCCAGGGCCCCCAGCGCCCCATGGCTCCGGGGGCCCAGCGCCCCAGTCCTGTTACCCCTCTAGTCCGGGTGCCCCCAAAGAGTCAACAGTGAAGAAAATCGGCTTGATCCAAACCAGCCCTGCCGGTCGACAGCGCAAGGGTTGCGTCGAAGTCTAGGAATGCGGGAGAGAGGAACAGGGAAGGCCTCGGGAGGAGCCAAGAAACAGAGGATACGCCATATACATTTCTGGGTCCGGCTGGTGGGTGCGGCTGCTCTGTTCTTAGGTGGGTAGCTTTGGCTCTATCTTCAGAGAGGCATCATAGAGACCCTCTTCGTCCATCACAAATGACTGATCTAAGAGGTACTGAGTGACCTGGAAGAGAAAGAAGAGCAGGGCAGAAGAGGCCTCCTCCTCCCCGGCAGAGAAGCCAAGGGGCACCTGCCCAAGTGGGCCAGGGACTGCGAGCTACCCAGTGGGGAAAGAACAAGGTGGGACCAAAGAGAGGGTCTCCCTGGATGCCAATTTGCAGGAGCTGAGCTGCAGGAAACGGTTGCCTGATACAAAGGTCCCTCTGGCATGTTGGGAGAGGAAAAGTAACCAAACTGGGGGGCCAACATCATCCACCCCACCCTGTAAGGAAAGAGGCTAAAGGAAGAACACTGTTGCCTCTCTGGCAGCCAGCTGGGGTGGGGGGCCTGTTTGCCTGTAGATTGCTAAAGGAGCCCTCCGCCCTAAAACACTACTGCAGGCACCCCCAGTGTCTTCTCTCCCAGGAGACCCCGCTCCCTGATAGTTCGAGGGGAGAGCACAACGTTGGCAAGTCCGTGCCCCAGTCCCCCAGAGGCCTGCATCTTTCCTATGGCCAGGCTGTTTCCAGCAAGCTGCAATCCTTTTCTCCCCACCTTGTGCAAAGAGATGAGCGGCTGCAGGGATCCTACCTTTGCCTGATGGTCTATCTTGTAGGCCGTCTGCTGAAACTGCCTGATCTCTCGGATGATGTGGGAGATCTACCGAGAGAGAAGAAGCAGGCCCTTGTGCCCAAAGGTTGCTAAAGAGCACACGGTGCTCCCACGGAGAGAAGGAACTGGGTTTGGAGAGCTGGCATTGGCATTTTGGCATGTTCTGGCCGAGTCAGGGCAGCTTGCCAGGGTTATGCCAGGGGAGGGTCATTCGGTATTCCTGCTAGGAAGCTCACCATCCTCATTTTGGAGAAGTTCACCAGGCCGTCCTCGGTGTAATTGGGAGTGCCCTCTTCAATGAACGCCAGGTCTGTTAGATACATGCCCAGGTAAGGGACGCAAGGTGGGTCGCAACTGAGAGGAGGAAAAGGGAAATGCAACCAAGGAGGTTCGGAAAGAGAAACTCCCTCCACCTCTCTGGAAAATGGTCACTTTGATGACTGTTACATGCTATTACACGTTCACACTTTAGCTGAGACAGGAGAATTAGCTACACAGGAAGAGGTGTTTGTCTTATTGTCTTACATTGTCTTACATCATCCTGCTACTTTTTGCCACTGGTTGTTCACATGTTCAAGCTGCAAATCAAGTCACAAGATATTGCTTGTGTGCAGAATTTTGCTTTAGCCCCTCAGGCCAAAATAATCCTTGGGAGTTCTGGAATCTCCACGCGGATGTCACGCTCTCTGCGTGGCCCCCAGGCAGCCTGCTCCTGCGACCTTCCAGGGCAGGGGTGAGTCCATGCAACCCCTCCATGTACCCCCGCATCCCCCTGCATCTCCCCCAAGTGCTCTCCAGGCACCACTGTGAAAAGCTAAAGGCACACAGTACTCGCACTTGAAGGGGGAGACTCACAAACCCTGTCATTTAAAACCCTAACATAGATTTTACATGGTTTTGCCAAAGACTCTCTCCCCAAACTCCCTCTGGAAATGAGGAAAAATGAACAGATAATGGGGCTCTCACTCATATTTGTGAGAAGCCCCCCCGTCATCTCTTCCCTTTCCCCACTGCTCAGTATAGAGCTGAACCACCGAAAGGTCGCCTCCCTCTGCCTTAGCAACAGGGCTGGGCCCCCTCAGTCGGGCGCATCCCCAGGGCCCGACCGCCCCACCAACTGCCCCCTCCCTGCCGAGGACCGCAGGGGCTTCTCTGCCCGTCCAAGAGCCGGGCTGCGAGACCCAACGGTGTGGGGGGCTCCCCTGCCGGCCACCCCTCGGCCTCCTGCTTGCCCTGTGCCCAGCTCCTGCAGGGGCAGCATTGATGTTGGCAGGGCTGCATCCAGCCGGCCCCGTTTGCTCTCCCTAGTTTTGGCCCCGGGGGTCCTGGAGCCTGCCTGGCCGCTCTGGAAGGCATGTCAGCCACCCGGGCCAGGCAAGGGCCTGCTGGCCTCAGGCCCGCAAGTGTGGGGGGCAGCAGGGGGCCTGCTGGCCAGCTACTTACTTTTTCAGAGCCTCCCTCAAGTTTTTAAATCGCCCTTCCGAAGACACCAGCCGCTGCAGCTTGTCGATTACCGCTTTGGTCTGGGGAGGAGGGAGAGAGTTAGAGGAGCCAACGGCGGAAAGGGGATGCCTGTCCGAGGGAGCCGTCCAAAGGGGAGTGAAGAACTGCCACGTCCGGATGCGGTCGGTGCATCACCAAAGCTGGGACAGAGGGCACCAACGCAGGCGACTCGCCGCAGGCGCTGTGCCTCTGAGCCCAAGGCAGCCGCCGCAGAGCCTGGCGATCAACCACAGCACGCCAAGAGGAGGCTGGTGTGGCTTTGGCTGTGAGCCTGGGTGCAACAGATCGCCGAAGAAAGAAGCCTCCAGAGCCCTGATTCGAAGGAGGCTCTGGGGCAGCACCTGCCTTTCAGATGGACTCCTATCCTGGCACTCTTTGATGGCCAGCGCTGCCCTGTTTCTCGTGCTCCTGCAAGGGGGGTCTGGCAGCTTGCCTCTTCCGTGAGGGTGGTTAGCGTACTGGTGGGCTGCTAGTATAAGTGCCCACCTCTTTGTCAGCGTGAGGAGGACCTCCCACCCTGGGTGAAACCCCGGAGCAGGGAGAGGCACATGAACAAGGAGTCCCCTCGATGCAGGTGAGGCTGTCTGCTCTCTCCTCAGTTGGAACCCAGCTGGCTCAGACCCGTCGGGCCAAGTCCGAGGCGCACAACTGTCTGGGGCCAAGGGCTCCTGAGAGGCACGCTGGAGGGCCAGCTGCATCTCCTGGGGGAGGCTGTTCCATAGGGCAGGCGCCACGACAGGAAAGGCACGCTTCTGAGGACCCTCCCGGTGACACTGCTTCACCGAGGGGATCCAGAGCACACCCACTCCACCAGATCTGGGAAGACAGGCAGAAACCATAGGGGACAGCAGGCCCAGCAAGTAACCCTGCCCCATGTCACGTAGGGCTTTGAAGGTGTCAGCACCCTGAATTGTATCTGGAAGCCCACTGGGAGCCAGCGCAGCTCACGCAGCAGAGGTGTTACACGGGTTTACCAGGGAGCACCCAATACTGCATGTGCCACTGCATTCTGGTCCCACTGAAGCCTCCGAATCCCCCTCAAGGGCAGCCCCATGTAGAACACGTTGCAGTAGATCAGTTGAGAGGGACTAAGGCACAAGTGACTGTGAACAAGTCTATGAACAGGTGCACCTGGCACATATTTATGCAAAAGCCCCCCTAGACGCAGCTGCCACTTGCTCCTTGAGCAGGAGCTGTGAGTCCAAGAAGACACCCAGACTGCGCGTCAGCTCTGCCTGGAGGAGCATTACCCCATTCAGAGTTAGCAATGTGGAATCACTGGATATGGGGGGACCAAAAGCCCTCCACCTTTACAGTTGGGATGAGATGGTGGGCCCTTGCATCCTTATTAAAAAGTGGTGCTCTAATTTAGCTACTTTGGCCATAAGAGGGTTGACGTACAGATTAAACAACAACGGGGCCCAAAAGCCCCGATCTCAGTCCTCTTCCAGTTGAGATCTCTTCAGTATCATGGAATCTTTATTCCAGAATTCTTATAAAGATTATGTGTTAACAGCAACAATAGGCATTTGTCTATAGATCCATTTACTGCATGAGTTTATCCCACAACTTTGTTCTGGAAATGAGATTAAATGCGGACCTAAAGTCAATGAATGTAGTGTATAGGGGATGAATATTTTTCAGCCAGACAGGGAAGCAAGCCCAGGGGTCTGCCATTCCAAATCACGGCGTAAGACTTGGGCAGCAATAAAGTTACTCTCTGGGGCTTTGCCGGTCTTCAGCTGTTTTACGTTATTTCAGAACTTCGTTATTTCAGGGCCCAGTTGGGGAGCTGGTCAATGATTTGATCTCTAATTTGAAACCAGGTAGGTCTGGATGGGAAAATCTGCTCCTTCAAATGCGGACAACAGACATGGCACCTCTCTGCCTCCAGTGGCAGAGACCAGTTGTTGGCTGGGTTCAAATCAAATCAAGTGGTTTAACTGTAGCTTGCCTAGCAAGCCACAATGGTTTCCTTGACACATTCCCTACCCACAATTCATGGCTTTCTAAGCCACACTGACTGGGTCCCCCAACCCACTAACCCCCCTGGGGCCTGGTGGTCCTTGCCAGTTGGGGAGAGGAACAAGTGACCAAGGCCAGAGCAGAGGGAGAGAGGGAGGAATTCACGCTGGTTCGCAACCGCCCCACCTGGGAGGTTCTGGAAGGGGGAAGCGCCATTCTCTGTTTAGTGGCGGCCCCTCCTTTCCCTCTCTACCCATCCAGTGGGTGGAGGCTGCTATCAGCAGGGGCCTCAGTCTTCTGGGACCATACACACATTGGGGATTTTGAAACGGCATGCTGGGTGGCCCACAACCAGCCAGAGAAGGGGCATGGCCAGTTGTTAAATTTTGGAGAGCCTGGTTCCCTCTCTCCTTTGAAATTTTGGGGTGTGTTTGGCAAGAGAAAAGATCAGTGTAGCTGTGGGAAAGTACAAGAGCCTGCAGGTGGAAATCACTGCCATCTGGACCCTCCACAGGTCCTATGAGTTAGGCAGCTGAATTGCAAAACAAATGCCTCCTCTGAGAGTGCAGTTACTTAGCCAGGCTGCTTCTGATACAGCAGAAATATTCTGCTTTTCCACAGATGGAGACAAAAAAGCAGTTCCGTCAACATGGAACCCTGTGGTGAAGATGCATTTATAATGTTGCCATGTTGCTAAGCAGTTATCCAATAGATTGATATGTGCATCTCTCTCTCTTTTTTGTGCTGGATCTCAGTGGGAAGGTATGACTGGGCACATAAGAAAGATCAAGCACATGAGATCCACTCTAACAGACCAGAGAGGGAGGCAGAAGCGTTGTTCTGGAACATGGGACAACCCGAAGGAAGATTTCTAAGATGATGCAACAAAAGATGGCTCTCAGGAGAAGAGATGCTTTTGCTACACCAAGTAGTTCATAGCTGTAGAAAGAAATTTAGAAATGCTAAAGTGCAAAAGGAACTTAGGCTCCCAAGGGGAACTGAAAGCAACAAGAAGAGCTTGGGGTGGGAGCTCAGTAAGATGGAGAGAGGGGAGCAACTCCCGCTTTGCTTCACTGCAGCGACCCAAGTAAGGAAAGGGGTGGTCAGGGAGCACCTGGGTGCCATGAATGGGGTTAAACTTTCATCTGGAAGGAGCCTTGACACCCTTTTCTGTGAGCCTTGAGAGGTCTGGAGGATGCGGGGAATTGGAGAAAGGCAGACGTTCCTGGCTCCAGAAAGAGGACCAGCGAACTACAGACAGCTTGGTGTGGGAGCATTTAGAGAAGAACGCCTTGCTTGGCAAGAGGCAGCGTGTGTTTATCGAGAATAAAAACAATTGGCTGTTGTAGTTCATCTTGACCTCGGCAAAATCTCTCATGAGGACTTAACAGAGAAGCTGGCAAATGGAGAATGCTGGACCTTGCTATCGTTAGGTGGACCCAGAGCTGGCTGACCAGCAGTACCCAGGGAGGGTGCATCAGTGGCTCCACATCGAGCCACAAGGAAGTGTTGGGTGCTGGACTGCAAAGGCCGCGTTCTGGGCTCGGTGTTGTTTATAAGTGACTTGGTGAAAATATGCAAACTTGCAAATGACACAAAGGCGGGAGGACAGGAAACATCTGGCAGGAGAGTATCAAATTCATGAGAATCTTGATCAAGACATACTTGATGTGACATACTTGTTGGGATCTAAACCCAGGCACTGGGACAAATTAAAGAAGAGAGCGTGTGAACAGAGCAAGAAGGGCAGTGCAACCCCTTGTGAAAGTTGGGCACCCCCCCAAAACATCTGTGCACAAGGTAGAGCCAGGAACTACCAGATGGGTAAAGGGCACTGCAAGGGAGAAGCTTTGCCAATCCCTGAAGGGGAACCAGAGATGCCCAGGGATGCTGCTGTCCTTTTGAAAGAAGTGGAACAACTGTTGGGGAAACATTGTGAGGTGTATAAATCCGCTGTGAAGGGGAAACAAATGGTTTGCAAGCTGGTCAGGCAGGTGGGGAGAAAGAGGAGCAAGACAAATGCAGGCGGGAATGTGAAGTGCAGGCAATCAAATAATGAGTCCAGGAAGTAGAACAATTAAGAGAGAAAATGCAATGAGTAAGAGATTCTTTAGAGGTCAAGGAAATGGTCTTCTCGTTCTGGGCCAGAAAGCTGCTGAGGACCCTGCATGAGGGGCTTCTCCCGGCACTGCGAGGGATCTGAAGCAGCCCTGCAAAAAGAAAGCTTTGCCCGATGAGTTGACTGCAGCCAAAGTGCACCTGGTCTGCTGCCAGAGGCTCTGTTTGCTCCCCAGCATCAATGTGACCAGGCTGCTGAATAAACAAACTACAACGGGCAGGTGACTGGTGAATTCTGCTCCTGATGGTGGCGGGGGGTGGGGGGGGGCTCTCGTGGCTAGACCTGGATGAGCTCCATCAAGATGGGAGAGGGTAGCCTGGATTCCTCCTTGGAGGAATGGGGCAATGATGGGGAAGGGGAAGGGCTCTTGGGCTGGAATAAAGCAAATGGTCCTAGTAAGAATCAGCAATGCACAAGGACCATCAGGTGTGTCGCACAAGCTGAATTAGCTGAAACGCTGGCAAGAGCGGAAGAAGCACCTGGGCCTTTGGGCCACCACACTTGTGGATCAAGATGCTGATGGTGTGAATAATGGGGAGCTTCTAAAATTCTTAGGGACATGGCAATTGACCGGGAGCTGAGGAAGATGGATGTTGGCGTATTTTTCTGGATAACTGAAGTAAATCCTATCCCTGCATATATGATTGCTTCCTGCTTCCAACATCTCTCCCTTGGGACCACAATTTTGAAGTCAGCTTACACGCAATCAGTAGCAACACCCTGGTTTATAAGCAGCACCCTTACAAACATGTCCAGTTGGCAAGTAATGCTGCTCTGCCAGGAAGGAAGCAATAAACTGAAGCTGCAAAGGGGCTCAAAACCCAGGAGGCTAGACTTCCTGACGTGTGCATACACGCGAGAGTAGGACCTCTTTTCCAGAAAGCAGAATGAGGATGCAGAGAAAAGCCTCTACAGCACGGTACCCCTCCCAACACCCACGTCCATTCGGCTCTGGCAGCAGTGCTCCTTGCCCACTCACCGGCTTTGACACCTTCATCCACGTCTTCTTCAGGCGGAAGATGGCACTGCGGTTGAAGGCCGAGGTGATCTCCAGAACAGCATTGTAGTTGTGCAGGCACCGACAAATGTCAGCCACAGCCACCCACTTCTCCACTGTGCTCACCCGGGCAGCCATGTCCTCGTTGCGGAGGATCTCCGAGGTGATCAGGTTGCTGATCTGCAGGGGGTGGGGGTGGAGATTACCGCCATTGGAAGCGTTTGTGTGAGCTGAAAATGGTGAGGGGACCACCTTGTCTCCAAGGAGAAAGGGGGAAAGGGAGAGGGCCGGGAAGCTCAATGTGCATTGGCAGGACAAGGGCTGCCCCTGAGTCATCCCTCCCAGGGCAGAATGGAGCCCCCAAGTCCAAGGCAGTGTTCCAGGCACCACGTGGGGCTCATCAATGATTTCAATTGCCTCCAACAACTTTTACCCTTCCAAAACTGAGTTTAACATCACCTTTTTATCTTGTTTATGAAGTGCCCAAATACTAGGTGTTGTGCAATAAAATGATACATGAAGATTATCTGTGAAAATCCTCTTTTTCACACCCAACCTTTACTATAAGGGAGGAGAAAAACCAGAATGAAGAATGAAGGAGACTTTGCCCAGGCAGCTCCTCCAGTTAGAGAGACAGACAGCAAACAAGGGAAGGGAGATTCCTCTGGGCACGGCAGAGGGGAGGGGAGGGGAGGGGAGAGGAGCAGGGTAGAAGGGCCAGCAATCCACCCGGGTCAAAGGTGGCTCCTGACTCACAGGGAGAAGCGGCCGTGGACAAGAGCATATCTACGAGAGCAGGCTGGGTTAGGTCCATGAGCAACATTTCCTGGTTTTGCATTCCAGTAGGATTTAGGTAAAATATGTGTAACTTGCTTTTCAGGGTACTTTGCCTTGCAAAAGTGGCTCAAAAGACTTTAAATATATGAAAATACACTTAAAATTTCAATATTGGAACAAACTTCTTTTAGAAATGGCAGCTAAACATTATTATTGCTATGGTTGCTGCAAGTCCCAACATAGCACAACGAAATGCAAGCATGTGTAACGCCTGGGACCAGACTGCTTTCCTGGGGAAAGAGAGTGTGGGGCACTGAGAAAATGCCTGTCCTGGCACTCCGCAGGCTCCAGCCGAGGGCCGGAGGGCAAGGCCTCCCCTGGGGACAGCAGAGCCTTCTGATGCAGCTTTTAGGGTCCATGGCCAGCCCAGCCCTACCTGGCACCCGAAAGGAAGCCTCTTTGACCTCAGGGAGTGCTGAGCTCCCACAGGCACTTGAGCTGCTGACACTTCCTGGTCAAGGGAAACTACTGAACTCTCTTCAGAGGCCTCCAGCAAAGAGAGCTTTGCAGTCTTCTAACCTGGGAATCAGGAAAGTTTGGGTCACTTGGGGTAGCGTGGGCCAAAGTTACCAACTAGCTTCAGCTGATAATAGCACCAAATGCCTTGAAACGAAGCTACTACAAGGGTTGGTGTTTCTTCAGCGAATGGTCAACTGTCCAAACTGTCACCCAGCATGCTCACAGCCAGTTATTCAAGGGATCTCTTGAACTGCAATGTTTCTAAGTCCAGCAGGGCCATTTGAGGATCACCCCGAAAAGAAAGGTTGCTTTTCATAAGACGGTCCTCTCCGAAGGAAGAATGAATTCTCTGGCCAGGTAAGGACCAGCCCTTCAATGCATCTTCTGCTTCCTTGGAGTACAGCACTGAGAGCTGTCCAGAGGAGCTGCCCTCTAAGGAGTCCTTGGGACCCACCACTGCAGTGATGGTGGTGGTGGTGGTGGTGGACCTTAGTAAGCCATGCTGTACATGAGGGACTTTTAAAAATCCAGGACAGATCTTCTGGGCATTTGAACATGGGCTGAAAGAACCCTAGTACCTCCCAACTCTCATTCAAGCAGGCAGAAGTATTTTCCTCTGGAAAAGGAGAACAATTCTACCCATTTAAGAAAAGGTGAATCTGGACAAGCAGGAAGAGGAGTCCCTTGTTGCTGCGTGTCTTGCAAAGTGCAAAGTCGATCTGAATCCTGAATTCTGAGCTGCCCCTGCAAAACCCCAGTGAGATTTTGGACCTGTGGCAATGGCACTCACATCATTGAAGTGCTTTGTGTTCTTCAGGATATATGGTGTTCGCTCGTTCTTTTCCACCTTCATCCATCCTTGTCCAAAGAATTCTCTGAAAACAAGAGGTCTCAGGATCAGCTTGGCCCTATCTAGAACTTCACCCTGGTTGGTCCTCTTTGTCCTGCACAGGAAATACTTGGGGAAAAGGCCCTCCATATGGATATCTCTTTGCAAGTGGAGGAGGGAGGAGAAGCAGTCTTGGGTACGTTATTCCCACAAGCCCTAGAACTGAATGTGATAGTGTGATAGGTGTCTAGGAAATTGTGCGTGTGCACACACATTCACCTTCATCTTTGCTCAGACCTGTGTTTGCAAAATCACCCAGAGGAACCCTGGGTGAATGCTATTCCATGTTCTTCAGCTTGGCTTCACTTCGAGAAGGCATGTCAAATATCCCTACTCAGAAACTCAATACTCACTCATAAGGAATTGTTTTGAAGACCAGATGATCCAATAAGGTGAGCTGCTCAGCTATTTCTAAAGCCGAGTGATTTTCAAAGGGTTCTGCCTTGACCCCTGTAGCCTGAAATGGGAAAAGAAGGGGCTGCTTGGGTTTGGGTCCCCAAATGTAGGTGAAGCAGAAGAACCTGCTCAGATATGGTGAGTCCAGAGTGAGCCAGATCCTGTCTGACACAACTACTTCCTGCTCCTGATGAGCAAAGGGAACGCCTACCCAGACAATTCAGAACACAAACCGGTATCATCAAAGGGCTGCCACAGGGACTTTGTGGCAGTAGTAGGACACCCTCATCCACAGGCTGCAGCTCCAACCCCACTTCTGTGCCTCCCTGAACACCCCAGACCATATCTGAAGGAAGCAGCACCAAATATTCAGCTGAGGGGGAGGGAGTGAATTAAGAGGCGAAATGCATGGTGTAGCCAGGAGAGCAATGGCTTTTGGTGAACTATTTCACCCCAAAAGCCACCTGCTGCCTTGATCCTGGCCGGCTGGCAGTGGCATATGGGGGCAGGAAGAAGGGAGAGGGGAAGTGCCCAATTGCAGGGTCCTAAGAAGGGCCAGCCTGACCTGCTTCCTGGTCCCCTATCTGACTGGAGATGTTGCCACAGGAAACCTGGAGGGAAGGCAGGAAGGAAGATTGGCCTTGACCAAAGACTGATGGTGCAGTTTGGGCTAGAACAGACAGAAGCAGAGGAGTGAAATCCAGGCCTTTCTCTGTAGAGGGCCTTTGATTTCCGACAGCTGCTCATTACTCCATATTAGATGTCTTCTGATTCAGAACAAGGCATTTAGCGTTTCAATCTTACTGCTCTGTTATGCCCAAACAAAGCGTTTCAAAACTACTTTCAGTTCCTCATATTTTGAAGAGATCAACAGAGCCATCTAGATCTATTCATGCCTTGCTTGAGATTCCTCAGTTATCTACGATAGAACCATGATTGTCATACACAGGACAAATCCAGAAAGTCAAAAGGGACTCTTCCTCTAGGGCTTGGAAGGCTTGTATATGTCCCAGGGTGGGCAGGAAGAGCATGGGCGTGCCAATAAATGTTATTGGCAGGCATTAAGAGGCCCAGTTCTCTTCTTAAGAGCATCTCAAACATAGGCTGACTTATCCTGATTTGGGGGCCACGTGGAGAAGCCTCAGGGTCTCCATTATGTTCCTTAATCTTCTCAACTCCACCCTTTCATATGGACCAAAACAGTTGCCCTGTTGGCTGATATAAACAAGCGGGCCCCTTGTGGCCCTGAGATGCCAGAAAGGAAGAAAGAAAAAAAGCAAGCAAGCAAGCACGGGAAGAGGGGAGAACCTCTGTTCCCTCTAGTGCTGGGGCCAGTGCAGATAACCCCTGCTGCAGTTAGGGTTACAATCAAGAGTCAGGGCAGTGCTGCCCAGTTTAGACTGAGTTGAGTTCAAATTCCTGCTCAGGTGTGGTCCTGCTCAGGTCTCTGACCCACTTACATGGTTGCTATCATGAAGGACAATAATAGCCTCAGGCTGAGGCCCAAGAGGTTCCAGTTTGGTCTAACCCTGCCCCAAGGGGCACCAAGAAGGGGAGATCGTGGCGATCTCATCAGGCCTCCTCTTCTCTAAAACCCTCCTCTTGGGGCCTTAGTGGGGCTCAGGCCATGCCAAGGCTTCTTTTGTGAATATTCTGGCTTGCAGCTTGGTTCCATGTGCCACCTTCCCTTTTGAGAGCTTGGAAGACGCCCCCCAGCCATCCCTAACTCTTCAGCTTAAAGCCACAACTGCCTTGCTGCACAGGAAATACCTGGACTCGCTTTGTGGACAACCAGGCTCCAGGCTGGCCCTGAAATGCAACAGGCTCCTGGTTTAGGAAACACACCAGACGAGCCCAGGCTTCCCTTGTGACCCACCTGAGGGATGCTAGAAGCTGGGCAAGAAGAGGAAGACGTTACCATTTGCAGAACCTCTTCCAGGGTGATCTGGTTGTCTCCTGGATCATCCTGGGTCAAGGTCCTGAGATGCAAAGTGGACATGGAGAATGGCAGCAAGTGAGTTTCCCAGTGGTCACTCCGGGTGAAGGCTCCCCAGCCGGGCATTAATTGCTTCAGTCTATTCTGGGGAAGGGGCGTCTGTCAAGCTGCCTGGAAGTAGATGGTTTCTCTGGCTCTAAACTTCTCCATCCAGTGCCATAGGGACAGAGATGGGAACAGTAGCAATTATTTTAGAGGGTCATATTAGATCCTCCCTCAAAGACCCTAAAGAGCCAAAGCAACATGGGGCAGCCTCAGAAAACCTCTCACTGGCATCAGAAGATCAGGCTGGTGACCAGCGCCTGCCCTGAGCTAATGGCCCAACGATCCTGCAGGAGTTAGGGCAACCAGTACCCAGGGGCCAGCTTAGTCCCACGTGGTGCCACCTCCCTTGGCTCCGATTAGGACCCATATCTGTGGCAACGGTGAGATGGCGACCCTGCAAGACCTGCCTTATGATATTGCCAGCAGCTTTTCTTTCTTGAGTCAGGAGTTCTGGGTCGTGCATCACTTCCTCCAGAAAGCTGACCACTTTATACTTCAGTTCCTCATTAGTTTCAAAGTCCTATAAAAATAATATTTTTCACAAGCCATAATGAGGCCCAGCCAGGCTGACAAGCACTGCCTCCTCCAACCTGGGGGCTCCGATCACAAGGGAGGCTTTCTCTGCCGAGCCGTACCTGGGTGTGCTTGGAGACCCAGTGCCTCAGGACGTTGAGCACCCGGTTGGTCGCTGCTCTCCTGATCACAAACTCTTTATCGCTGTTCCTTTGGTCAGGCGGGAAGCCTGCACGGCAAGGAAGGTGCATGAGTTAGCTTGGCCTGCCCAAGGGTCTGGCTGTACAGGGCCCAGGCAGGATCAGCAAGGGGCCCATAGATTTGCTGGGTCTTGCTGGCCTGCCCCGACCCTGCCCCTGGGAGGAACCTTGGAAGAGAGCCCCAGCGATGGCCTGGCCTCCTCCCCAGAAGGTCCACAGGACCAGAAAAAGGGAGGAACCACCCAGCCCAGAGGACCCTCCCTCTTCTCCCACCTGGGCTGGCCAACGACATTCTGCGGTACTTCTCTTTGGTCGGTGTACCCTCATTGGCTCCTGCGGTGGCAATGGCAAATGCAGAGGCGGCCGAGAGGGCGCTGCTGCGGCTGTTCTCCAGTTCCCGGCAGGAAGTCATCACCACTCCGTTGTTATAGGAGAACAAAGGGAACTCTGTATCGGGGTGAGACCATTTATGAGGACTGATCCGCTTCCATGAAGTCTCTCCAGTGGGCTTCCCCGTGAGGAGCAGGAGCCACTGCTGACTTGGGAGAAGAGCAGCCCAGACAAAGGGCCCACTTGGTTCCCACAGTCCTGATTTGGAAGAGACCCTTTGCGCCACAGAGGCCAGGATCAGCACCACCTGCAGGTACTGCCTGTTGCTCTTGCACTTATTTTTGCTAAGAGTGAAGATGTGCTTCCCTTGGAAAAGGCCATCCCAACCCCTTCCCCACGGCTTCTGTATTTACCTGAAGAGTTCTTGCCTCTGACCGGTTTCGGCGTGGTCGGGGACTTGGTGGGTGATGCTTCTGGGTCTCCCTCCTCACTCTGGGTTGCCTCAAAGGCGGAATCTTCTCGGGTGGACTCTTCGGAGCCTGGTGGATGAAGCGGCAGCTTTATACATCTCTCCCAAATGGTCCTGACCAGGTGAGTTGGGGGGGGAGACCTTTGAAAGTAAGGTGGCCTGAACCTTCCATGCTTATTGGCTTCTCTGTGGTTTCAAGAGATTTGGCCAAGGATCCAGGATAGAACCCATTTGCCTGGGCCTGTTCAGGTGGGGGAGTTTGCCCAATCCCCCCTCCAAGGACTTAACCCAGGCTTCCAGCAGCATCCAGGAATCCAAAACCTGCGCGGTGCCCAGGTCTGCACTGGAGAAGGCTGCAGCCCCAAACCTCTGGGTCTTCACAGGTTGGCCCTGTCTCCTGTTTCGGGGGGGGGGGTTGCCATGAATTCCTGCTGTCACATGTCTCCTCCAGGGGGCGCCTCACCTGGCACCTTCCCATAAACCCTGATGGGTGAGGGAAAGAGAGGGCTCTATGCCCTGAGTTGCTCTTGGGCTCCTTGACGGGCGGAATGCAGAAGCTGACACCCCCCCGGGCCTTCTCCTGGCAGAAGCTGGCCACGTGGCTCCTGACCACCCATTCCCCCCTCATGCCAGAACCTACTTACCTGTCTTGTTCAGCAGGGCTTCCTCTGCCTTTTCAGTGCTCCCTTCCCCCTCATCAGGTATTTTATTGGAGTAGCTGCTGGACACGTAAAGCTTGTTGATGTCCAAGGTGGTTTTGCTGAATGGTGACATGGAGGAGGAATACATACTTGCATAACCATTGGAAGAGCAGCTCAATGCGGCCAGTTCCAAGGCCTTCCCACCTGTGATAATGGGAATGTTCAAGGACAACTTCCTTCTCCGGCTTGGGGAGGATGACTTGGTGATAGACAGAGGGGGTGGGGAGGAAAACTTCCGGTTGGCACGTGGAGACTTTGGTGGCTCCCCATAGAGGAGTTTGGTATTCTGACTGCTGGCAAACAAAAGCTCCAGGGACCTGGTGGAACACATCCAGGAACAAAGCTGTTTATCACTGTGTAGCATCTCCTTGCTTCTCTGTGTTGCATCTCTTAACGACACAACTGCCTGAATTTTTCAGAAACCAGATGACTTTACATAATCTCCCAAGAGAATAGTGTGGGCACCAAATCCCATTAGAAAAAAAATTACTCAGAATGAGGTAATTCAGAAACGTGAGGTTAAGGGCCACCATTTCCCCCAGGTCTGTTCTTGCCATGAGATACAGGCGAATCAGCTGAATGGAAGTTTGGTTGGAGAGGATCAGGAGCTGAGGTCAGACTCAAGGTGTTTTGGATGAGGCCAAGACCCCTCCCCAAAGGTCTGCGCTTTGATGCACCATTGCTACATCAGCAGAGTATCTTTTATCAGCACAGGCAGGTTCTATGTTCCCCCAGGCCAGAGGCAGCCATGCAGTGACCGCCTTTCTAAGCAAAGGACTGTAATAGGCCGCAGCATACTGGACGCTGCTCACAAAGGGTGGCCCGTCCATTGAGAAGCCCCTGGGTGGGACTCTGCTTACGCCAAACAGATTTAGGGCTTAAGAAGTTGGCCTGGTTCTCTTGGTCTCGGGGGGAATTTCTCTGCTGGGCCTTGAGTAGCCAAAGTCTGTTTCTGGATTTTTGAACATTGTCTTATTTATTCCTTACAGAATCTCTGTTCTGCCTTTCTGTTGAACATTCAAGGTGTCTTAAGTACAACAATAAAAATGGGTGCAACAAAAGAAGCACCTGAAAAGGACTGGATGATTCAGCTCTGGATCCTTGATGTCTGAAGTGAGGGAGCTGATGAGACGTTTTCAGTTGCAGCTCCAGTGCTCATGGCCCCCATTCCTCAGGGATGTGAACCTGGCATTGGCTGTGAAGTCTTGCCATCAGCAGGGAAAGGCATTTCCCTTTCCCCAAGCAGACCAGCACTAGTGTGAGCTGGTTTTCATGAGGTTTTGGATCATGTTGCTCTGCTTTATATGGAATTTGCCCTGCCTCTCTCTGGGAAATGATCTTACCTGGCATTTGAGATGGTTATTTCTTGGCCTGATGTATGTCAAGAGGTCACACATAGCCAGGAGGCTCCTTGGTTGCTCACATGTCCCACTAAAGCAAGACACCTCAGATACCCTATAAAATGTCCCTCAGCCCAGAACAGAGCTAATCGCTGACTGCTCTCTTTCTCCATGGCTGCTTTAGGGTTCCCAGGCAAAGAGGAGTTTCAGGTGGCCCTCCTTGGCTTCAGCAGCCCGCCCGCTACCCCCTCCTCTCTGCCTCACTTGCCCATTTTGAGCTCCACCCAACAGGCTTGCAAAGACTCACCTGGCAGGAATTGCACTGATTGGCTTCTTGTAGATTGTGATCAGCTTGTCCAACACAGTCATAGCCGTGGTGAAGACCCGGTAGGAGTGCAGGAAGGTATTGAGAAAATCAATGCTTAGAAACCTCAGGTCTGTCAGTCTTTCTAGGAGGCGCCCCACGCTGGCATAGCGGATCTGGAGGACCTTGCAGGAGTTCATGGTTTTGCTGAATCGAATGTCGACATCATCGCAGTACAGGCTGGTATCTGACCTAGAAAATTAGGGTGGATGGATAGAGGCACCATAGCAAATCATGCTCACCTGTGGCAATTGTATCTTTGCAGGTGACATATAGAAGCTTACCAGTGTCTCTCTGGCCTGAACCACCAAGAGTTGGAGAGAAAACTGGGTGGGATGTTTTGGCTTAGAGCCCAGGTGCAGAACCTCAGCATCCCGAAGAGATTGCCACCATTTTAAAGTGAGAGAAGGGGGAACAGGTCTTTCTAAAATGTTTCCATGCTACTTCTCTTTACAGAAAATCCCAAAGTGGTTTACAATATTATTAAATAACAAATAGCAACCCAGATATAGTTTATTCATTTATTTCTTTTTACTTGCGTTTACTTGCTAATGAAATCAAATCAAGTATAGTTTTTGCCCTGTCCTCATGTACTTCTGGAGTGCTGTGCACACTGTGCTATTTTCAAAACAGAGCACCTGACCAGAAATACTTGTTGTACCAACTCCCTGGGTTATGGGTGGATTTGTTGGCACTGAGGCTCTTCTAAATTTGGGGTGGCACCAAAAGTACCTCCAACAATTCTAGATGAACACAACTGCATTCCTTACTTGATCATCTGTGGAACAGTGACTTTTGAATTTTCTTCAAAGGCGTTCATCATGAGGCCATTGCATCGAATGTTGTCTACACACTGAAACACAGGGAAAAGAGGTTTCCAGAAACAGGGAGAATGGAAAGGAAAGCGGTTGTGCTCTGCCGGTTTTCCCAATGGATCGGGAGACACATGTGTTATTTTGCAGGTGTTAGCTCATTTGGTAACTACTTCCTCCTCCAAAAGTGATTCTTTGTCTTTGATTTACTCCAGAAGATGCCTTGCATGTTGAAAAACAGTGAAAAACAGGCTCGGGTCCTAACATCCCTAACCTTGACAGGAATGTTGGTGGCTCTTTGTAGTTCAACTCCTCCTTCCTTACCTGGCTGATGTCGCTGGTCCACGCGGCCTTCTCTTGCCTGGATGATGCCACAAGGATAATGGTGTAAGGTGCGCTGTCTTTAGGTTCCACCACAATCTTGAAGTCAAGGTGCTCTGCATCTTGCCCCGATCCTTTTAGTGTATATTTGAGGAGGGAGAGAAAGGATTTAAGAGGATCAAGTGTAGACTGGTCATGGGAAGAGAGAGGATGGGGAGAAGGGAAAGACAAGGAGCAAGCTGGGGTGGGGGCTTTAGCAGTCAGATGCTCATCTTGATGGAAAATCCTTTTGGTCTGAAAGGACAGCTTTGGGGCCTGAAAGGGCAGCTCCTTCAATATGCAGTGGTCCCCCTTCCCGCTGCTGGTGTGACAGGGGACGTGGCAGCTGGTGCTTGGAGGGAGGGGCAGGGGAACAGTTTTGCCTCCCCAGCAAGCCCAGGCTCGCGTTTTGCTTCGGAGCTCAGCTCCCCATGTCATGAACTGAGGCATGCTTTGAAATGACAAACCCTGTTAGAAGCCTTCATTTAGTGGTGGGAAAAGCCAGCGGAAAGCTGTTGGTCTCCTCTTGTAAGGGCCCTTGAGGGATGTGGTTGAATGGCCGGTCAGCCAGCCCTCTTGCTGAGGCAAAATAGGCCTGAATCAGAGCCCTGCTTGGATAGGAGATCCTTTGGACTCCCTGCTCCCAGGTATGCCTATCCTGAGCGCCCTGGGAGAGGGACCCTAAATCGATCAGGCTTATGGAGGGAAAGGGGCGGCTGGACGAACAGTGCTGCAAGTGCCAGAGAGGACAGCAGGGAGTGGGGAGAGAGCAGGGGGTGGCCTTAAGGGCTGGGTAGAGATTGCGG